AGTATGTAAATCATGTATAGTGAGTATGTGTATGAGTGATTGAGTGAGTAGGTGAGTGAAAGAGTGAGTGCAAATATGAGTGTGAGATTATCAGGAACTGTATGAGTTGAGATATATATATATATATATTTTTTTTTTTCTGTTAATTGACCAGTTCAGCAATTAGCCCTACGACAAAGTCTTGGGATCGAAGTAATCCGAAAAGATTACCTTCACTAATTATATCTATGCACACCATCTCTGTTTTTAATAATCCTGTAATTAAAGAGTGGATATAACCGACTCAACTTCGTCATACGTCTTTGTTTTGAGCCAGTCCATTACAGCTTTTTTACAGTCCCAAAGTTTCATGGGATAGATTCGTAGTTCTTTGTTCAGCAAGTTGTATAAATAAGATGATTGCCTCGGGTATTGTCTTTTAGCAAAGGCAGATCTTACCCTAACAGTTGGGGCGACCAAATGGTCTCTTCTGTTTTTTGGCTTACAATGGTTGTATGGGAGAGTTATGTGTTTTTTCAGTATGAGTCGGAGTAAGTAAAGTTTTCTAACAGATAAAAGATCAGCTTTTAAATAAAGGGCATGCGTAGGGTATCCATAGGGTTTAAAGAACATAACCTTAAGTAAGGCTCTTTGAGTCCTCTCAAGTTCCAAAAATTTCATTTTCGTTGTGCCTCCCCAGCAAGGCAAACAATACATGAGGATAGACTGAGCTAAAGACATATAAACTTGCTTCAGGAGTTGCCTTGAAGTCACATGTCGCAATGTTTTGAACAACCAAATAAGTTTCCTAACTCTATTCATAATAAGTTCGGTGTGCATGTGCCAAGATAAGCGCTGATCAATCATGATGCCAAGATATTTGGTGTGCTGCAACCTGTCTATTGGTAGACAGGAACAGTCTAGTGCTGGGAAGTTGTGGCAAATATGGGCTTTTATTTGGAAATCTTGAGGCGGTTGCGAATTATTATACTTAGTAAAGCAGATGTAGTTACATTTAGAAGCGTTTAGCGTTAGGAGGCTATGGTTTAGCCATGCTGCTATCTTCGCAAGACCTTTCTCTGCCAACCCACGAACCTCATTCCAAGTCTTCGCAGTGAAGACGATGGCAGTGTCGTCAGCATAAGAGAAAATATGCCCTCCCTCAATCTTCATGTTACAGAGGCTATTGATGTAGATAAGGAACAAGGTCGGTCCAAGGACACTGCCCTGTGGAACGCCGAAGGTTACCGATGCCTCCGAACTAGAATATGAAGTAATTTTGACCTTATGTTTGCGATTGCTGAGGTAAGATGTAAACAGTTCAAGGGCATGTCCCCTCACTCCTATGTGTTCAAGCCTCTGCAATAGAAGAGGTGTAGACACAGTGTCAAAAGCTTTCCTGAGATCAAGAAAAACCGCTAAACACCTGTCTCCCCGATCCACACCATCCACCAAAACAGATGTTAGTGATAAAACTGCATCCTCAGTAGACCTTCCCTGCCTGAACCCGTATTGAGAGGGTGAAAGTATTTTATATTTGTTTAAGAACTTCATCAGACGTGAGTTGATGATCTTTTCAAAGATTTTCGAAATGCATGGTAGCACTGAAATTGGTCTATAATTAGATGGGTCGGTTCTTTCGCCAGACTTGAATACTGGTGTTATTAGTGCAATTTTTAAAGCATCCGGGAAGATTCCATGCCTGAAGCATATGTTAATAAGGTGAGTCAAAATTGGTACAATTTGTATGTGTGCAGCTTTTATAAAGTTGACATGTATCTTGTCCCAGCCAGGGGCACTGTCTGATTTCAGGCTCATTAAAGTCGCTCGAATTTCGTCGTGGTCTGTATCAAGAAGTACAAAAGATGTCAAAAGACTGTTAGAAGAAAATGAGTCAGTGTTATAACGTGTTGTTGTTGAAGATTGAGAGGTGATGATGCTTTCAGCAAGCAATTTGCCTATATTACAGTAATATTCGTTGATCTTTTCTACAGAGTTTTGTGGATCAGTGAGACTATGTAGTAGTTCCGAGTTATTGTCTTTTTTAGGTTTGCGTTGTGTGATGTCGTTAATTATAGCCCATGTTTTTTTAGGATTTTTAGATGCTTTAGTAAGTTGGTCTCTCTCATACTTACGTTTCTGTTTTCGAATGATAGTACAACAGTAATTTCGATATCTCTTGTATGTGATTTTCAACACTTCATTATATGGATCAAGCCTAAGTCTCTTTTGCATGTGATTTCTATTATAGATGCAGCGCAGTAAACCAACGGTCATCCATGGTTTTAGGGTTCTGTTTTTCAAAGGTATGCTCATAGTAGTTGTACTGAGTTCGACACAATTTTGTAGTATTTCGATTAAGTTATTTGTAATAGTGTTAGGGTTGTCAAGTTTCAATAAATCCGTTAAGTTGTAAACTGTTAGGTGTTCTAACCCAACCTCTAAATTAAAAACTTTCCTTATTTTACGTTGCCTAATTAAGTTTTTATGACAAGTGATTTTTAAGAAAGTCATGAAATGATCCGTTATTGTAGTGTGAATAATTGCAACAGTTGGAGTTTGGCTACCTGGTTTCAGTTTTATTATAAAGTGATCAAGACAGGTCTTTTCACGAGTGGGAAGCAGGTGACCGGGAAGTAGGCCATGCATTGCTAACATATTGAGATAGCTATGTCTGTTTGAACGCTCGCACGACTGCTCATTATCATTATATATTAAGTTAATATTTATATCTCCGGTTATTATTATGGTTTTAGTTGATGTAAGAGCAGTCAAGTAATCGTCCAAAGAGCTAATAAATTGGTCAGCGTTCGAAGTCGATGGGGATCGATAAATCGCTACAACTATAATGTCAGGTACAACATGTACCTCCAAACAAGACGCATGTATTAACTTCACTTCTCTAATTTTTGCCTTGTGTGTACTTTTTATGTAAGCGACTACCCCATCCGCCTTATTCATGTGGTTTGTAGTTTGAAACGAAGTATAATTAGTAATTTGGGGTATTGGTTTATTTGAGTTCAATCTGCATTCCGTTAAGGTTATGAGATCAATTCCCATACCAAGATTAAATAGGTTCAATTGGAGATCATCAAAGTTAGTATAAACAGATCTAATGTTCTGTGACACAATGGAAAAATCAGACGCGCCAACCTTAACCAACTTGGCAAAGTCAGTAATATTACAATCAAACACTTGAGCTATTTCGGAATTGTCGATGTCATCCAGAGCTTGTTGATTGGTATCCATTATGATAAAGATTATAAATAGTGGATAATATGATTAAATTCGTATTTGTATGTCGTGTGAGAGTGAGAATGATTGTGTGTGTCTGTGTGAGTGTGTGTATTTCGTGTGAGTGAAAAGAGATATGCGTGATTCGAATGTTTAGGAGTTTGGTATTAGAATTGAAGGTAGTTTTAAGCATTGAAGAATAAATGTTGTAGTGCGATCGGTAAACAAAACATAACACATTTTTGAAATTAGTGTCTAACTTGGTTATGATTAATTTTATAACTTTAAGAAATCTATGAAGGTATAAAATGTAGCTGATATATTGTAATTTTCTGAAAACTAGTCACTGGAGCTGTAAAAGGTTTTGTACCTGCTGTTCACTGTTTATAACGATAGTAGGTGAATTGTCATCTTTCTTGATATAAACTTTCCCATAAGCTGTCCAGCAGTATTTATATTCTCTGGATTTAGCCAAATCACGTGCCAGGAAGTGCAGTCGCGCTCCTTTCGTAGTCATTTGCTCTGAGATATATATTGGGGTATCTTCATCCTTTTTAAATCCAAGGTGCTTTGTACATAATTTTCCATTTTGTTTTCTATTGAAGTTTTTAGATGACTTCAAAAATTCCGACTTAAGTATAGTTGACTTAAGTTCAACTATAATAGTACTGTTTTTTGTGTTGTTTCGTTTAGGTCTTGCTCGATATATATCACCAATATCTGGTTTTGCAATGGTACAGCCCACCTCCTTAGATAAACAGATTGTCATATTTATTAAGTCTTCTTTCGACTCTTTAGGTATTTTAGGGACATTTTTAATTTCAAAACTAGCTTTTCTCATACCTCTTTGCATATCCTCTATTTTTTCCTTTAAAATTGTGATGTATTCTTCGTCTTTTGTAGATTTTTCTTCAAGAATTTGCACTTTGGACTTTAGTTCATCATTCTGCGCCGCCAAAAAAGTAATGGAAGATTCTATGTTGTTATTAGTGGATTTAATTTCCATTAAAGTTTGACAGATTTTTTTAATCTCTGCTTCTTGTGGCAACATCAAAGACGATATTAGTTCCTTAACTTCCTCCTTAAAAGCGTGAAAATCAGTATCGTAGTTATAGAGATCCTCTACTGACCTCTTGTATCGTCTAGACACGAAGTTAGGCGGGGTACATTGTTCGGGTTGTACGGAAATGTTAGATTCAGAAAGTGATTTGGCACTACTTTGCTCCATTCTGAACAACAGACCGGCTTAGATCAATGAGATAGTGTTATCTTTAATCTGTCGGTAAACAGTGATGAACTGTCTTGCGAAATATTTTCAAATTTATCCGATCAATGTACCAGGAGAACATAAACGCAAGTAGGTCTCACTATCCCACGCCCGCATAGATAACGTTTTAGTAGTGTGACGTGTTAATTAGTTTTTGCACACAGCGATGATCTACTTTACTCGGTAGGCTGTCCTTGACCGTCCAATGATGCGTAAGTAGGTTGGGCCTTTCGCATTCCGGGGGCGTTACTATGCGCGGGAGCAGGTAATCGAGTGATTCATACCTTTCGATCGGTCGACTTCATTAGATGTACCAGATAGCAGGTAACGGCTCCTTCAATTTATGCACTCCTAATAACTATGCATGAATTAACTGTGTTAAATTTGTGGTTTATTTTATTAAATTTAATAAGAAAATAAAGAATTACGGCTGAATATACGTCTACACCAGTTGGCGGTCCGAAGGGAAGGGGGAATATAGATATAATAATATCTAAATTATCAGTATTTGTTGGCATTGCTGCGATGCGACGTCTCATTGTAGGTTGCAGCTACGTTCGCCGAACCTTGCGGGCTTTGAACCTGAGGAGCTTGTCAAGTTGCTTTAACATGTTCGGTCTTGTACAGAGAGCTTTCCTTATAGCTTCGTCCAAGAGTTTCTTTTGGTTGTATGGCGCTATCGGCGTATCCGATAAATGTAATGTATGTAGCCTGCCCTTCGTGTCCCCGAGGTACACATTGTGCCCGGATTTCTCGAACCGTATGTATGTCAGCGTCACGTCTCCAGGAAACTGGTACTCGGCACATGGCATATGAATCTTGCGACGCAAGTCCCAAACTGATAATGTATTCCCACTCGCAGACAGTAAGATAGTCGAGTTATTTGGACAAAATGATATTCCGTTAACTGCGCTTTGACAGACCAATGTCATTACAACATCGTCCATGCCTTCTATCCACAGCCGAATAGCATTGTCAGCGCCACACGAAGCCAGCAAGTAGCTCATAAAGGGTGAGTTACACAAGTCCGTGACGGGGCCCGCGTGAGCGCGGTACACGTCTATGTGCTGGTTGAGATAGTGCGTGGAACATCTGTGTATGCAGCCCTCGTCTGTGCCCACCAGGTAGCAGTGGTCTATAGTGGGGTGCCATATCATACACAATACCGCGGGATATCTAGTAATGGGCACATCATGTTTAGGACACGGTTTGGTAGTTTCTAGTCCCTTCAGCTTGCCTTCGACGGCAGATACCCGCATCATGGGAGTACTGATAAACTCGTGTGTTTTAGTACTTTGCAATCTACGAATTCGTCCATCCTGACAAGCTACCATCACATACTCGTTGTCTCGTTCTGGAGTACACTGCCAAGTTACTATCCAAATTGGCTCAAAGCAGGGATTTGTGTCACGTTTGCTTCTTGCTATTATTTTTGGAGAATATGAAGTGATATCTAGGATTATCACGTCACCGTTAAAAAACCCACAAGCCAACCAATTAGGGTTTCTTACAGAGAACCCTACAGACGTGACAGGAACTTCAAAATTATAAAGTCTTTCTGGCTTACGTGGGTTTTTGGTACACCAAACACAAACGATGCCTTTACAAACATCTGCATAACCAAATTTTCCATGAGCTATTGCGCAAAGGTTTGGACATACTGCATTGAAAGATATATCAACTATTGGTTTGTTCAAAGTCTCCTCACATTCAAAGGTCCACAAATTAGTTAAAGTGTAAACGTAAATTAAATCTAATGACAGCGGATCGACAGCGACAAGTCCCCGAAACAATTTCTGGGCAGCAGTGAACTCCAGGGAAGCGAGCACACGTTCTGTCAGAAGCACTGCGTCCAAGTATTGCGGCGTCGCTCCAATCGCTTCGAATGTCATTGGCCTGCTTTTCTCTGGATGAAGTAGCTTTCTTCTCTTCTTCCGCAGCATATGGGGCGCTGCGGACTGGTACATCACCATCTCATCATCTTCCTCTTCTTGTTCCTGTATCATTTTAAGATGTGCGTAAGTGTCGTGCATATCCCACATCGATGCGAAGGATACAGCATTCTTCTTCTGCGGCCTTACGGCGATGGTATGCCGGGTTAGTGTTGTAGTAGCATTGGTCTGAGTTTCTTGATTAACCATTTTTCGATTTTTACCTTTTCCAACTGTGATGAACTCATAGAAGGTATTGTCGGCCTCGACGATCTGCCCTTCCGCTGATCCTCTGTCACATGACAAACTTGGCAACGATACCAAGAAGACAGTTTCAGTTTCTTTGAGCGTGACAAGCATATCTGGCGGGTACGACGTAACCGGATTCATTTTTGGTAAATAAAATGCAGACGGTGCCAAGGAAACCTGCCCGTCATCGGATTCTAAGCCCTCCTCAGTGTTGAGTGTGTGATCGATTTCAATGTCGTCAAGGTTGATAGTGGTGGCGAAAACTTTCGGGCCGCCCCCCACGGCTAACACGGACTTGGATCTCGTGAATTTAATAACTGCTTCACTTCTGGATCTCGATTTCCCTTCAAAAGCTGCGTGTGTCAGCGTCTCGTCCAGGATAGCGAACGTGGGGTCAGTGATGTTATCCGGGGTACAATCGACCCCGTTGAGTATCGCCTTGTATAGTAGCCGCCTGCTTGCTACCGTAGAAGGAGCTAGTTTCACAGATTTACCAGAAATGGCAGGCTCAATACTCAAAGCATATTCAGACGAATCACTTGTAGCCAGAGCTTGTTTAATTGAAGTCGTGCTTAGGGTAATGACCATTTTCAAAAAATGAAGAAAAATATAAGTACTTGATAATAAATTAAGTAATATAAACGTAATTAATATTCAAATATCTGTATAATGACGTATTAAACTAGACATGTGAATTTTACTACTGTATTGTCATAAAAATGTCCACATATTATGTCATTGTAGGCTACCTTCTATCTTTACCTTCTTCTAAAATTAAGAATCTTAATAAAACTGTAAATTCTATAAATTGAAAATATTAAACAAATAATTAATAAAGGATGTTACTAGATAGATACCGAACCCATAAAATATGATTAAAGAATGTTTGTCTGTCTGTATGTTCACGCTCACGCATTGCGCTAGAAAAACTGTCCAATTACGATGAAACTGTGTATAATACTTTAATATCCTGGGCATCACACTGGATAGGTACTTTTTATCCTGAAAGAGTAAATACTTACTTTCAAAAACAAACTTTAATGTAGGTAAGTACGGCTCGACCCTACATACAGGTACTATTCTTCTTCTTCTTATAGTGCCTCGTTAATGTTGAAGGTCGGCCGTCAGCTTCTTTTGTTTATCGGGAGTGGACCGGCATTACATCTGTCGAACCATTGTTCCGCATGGCTACCGACAAGGAGAAATACAAGAAGCTGACAGGTACTATACCAAACACAAATGTAAGTTTGTCGAATGTTAGGACCTTACGCTGTAACTGTAGGACCGATGCATGGTCGAAATTAGCTTAAACCGCTATTATTAATTAATGGAAAAAATTGTCTATTTGTGAGTTTATGTAGGTATAGTTTTGGTACCTACTCAGTCACATCGAAACGGCTGAAGGGACCGGAATGAAATCATGGTCTGGAGTACCTAAGTAATACTACACGCTAATTTTTAACACCGGGAAAGCCGGCGAAGTCGTTGCCAGAAGCTTTTAAGTTCTTCCATTACTCCGCGGATACCACGATCTCCGGGGATGGAATTCGATTGGAATTCGGACATTTAAGTTTCGGGAGGTACCAGTGTCTAATGGGGCGGGAGGAAACGTCTGGGTGTCATCACTGTGAGGACCGCCCTGAGGACACGGTGGAATACCCTGGTGGAATGCCCTGCGTGGGCTGAGCACCGCCGTGCCGTCTGGGAAGTGATCGGCGATGGCGACCTCTCGCGTCCGGGCCTAGTGCAGGCCATGATGCGGAGCCAGGGGGATTGGGATGCCGTCTCCTCCTTTTGCGAAGCAGTCATGCTAGCTAAGGAGGAGGGGGAACGCGTGAGGCAGCGAAGCGCTGCCTCCTCGCAACCCAGCCATCGCGAAGGACACACCGGGCGTCGGGGATCGCGGGACGATCTCCGGCCACCGTAAGCGCGGGCCTGCGGACGGCGAGCATGGGTGGCTCATCGTCCGACCAGAAACAGACCCGAGCGTACGGCGCGTCGCGTTCCGCGCGCGCCTTAAAGAGCCATCAGACCACCACAGATGGGGCCCAATAGATTCGGAGTAGCAGAAAACCTAACGGGTAACCGGGGCTCCGGCTCGACGTGCAGGAGAAGGAACGGGGTGGTTTTTAGTCAGTAAGAGTCTGACACTCCCTCCCGCCTCACCCAGGCGACATTCGATGATTTTCCGCCCTTAAAAAAAAAAGTTCTTCCATTACACAAGGATGCACGTATGCTTCTCTACGGATAATTGTATCATTTTTGTAGTTGGAATTATTTGCATACCGGAGTTGGCCATCAGGTCGAAATTCGAATTCCAAAAACTCATGAACAAATTTGCCTTTTGACCAACATAGTAACGGATATAGAAATCTGAAGGCAAAAGGTTTTGTGATGAAGGATTGTCCTGATCAATGATTAGTTGCTAAATTAAACAATAGACATGACGAAAAAGTGCCTGTACTGAACCTATACCTTCTATGTACATATACATTTAGACTTTTTAACTCCTTTTTGGGATTTGTAGAAACTACTGAACGCCTAAGGTAGGTACCATCTACGCCAAGGTACGTACGTACTTCGTTCGCGGTTGTATCTTAAGCCTACAAGTATTGACTCTTTTTTATTACTTACCCATTTGGATACATATCTAAGTTTATTTACCTAACTAAATCTTCATGTAGATACTACCTATATAGAGGTAATATGTAAGTGATAGCACTATCTACTTATGGCACTGGGATGTGCCGTAACAGGCGTTGCATCGTGGGGGCTCCGGAGCAGGTCTATTAGAAAACCCGGTGCCCAGGTGCAGGTGCAGGTAAAAATCCACATTCTCTCTCCCTCCTCAAAAGGTTCTGAAGGTTTCCCCCGTTATCAAAAAAATAAGTGATTGTCGACATAAAATCTATAAATCAGGTGTCTACCTAATCAAAGAAAAGAAAACTATACCTACCAATAAAAAATAATAATTAAGAAAGCAGACAATCGAATAGTTATTCGATTTCAATATTTCGGATTCAATCCCTAATTCCTATTTCATTTTATTTGACAAAATAAAATTGCTTGGCAACAAACAAAACACGCTACGGGCACAGAGTATAATAAGTTTAGGGGAAGCTACGGGGTAATTGGTACTCAATTGGTATGTAGCTCTGGCGGAAGCTTGGAAGTTATTGAAATTGCGTTTGTGTTTAGGGAATTTATATTTTTATAATAACTATCGTGAGATAATGATCATACTAAATTAACTAAAAATCGCGGCTTAGGTACTCACGTGATATATTCACGTAAGTAAGCTGCCCCACGAACGTTTGCTTCCAACTCTGGCGGCGGCGCGCTGGACGAAGTTCACCAGCGCCGGGGGTAATGGGTTCGATTCCGGCCCGTTGGCTTCCCGCACTTTTTGCGGAACGAAGTATTTTCCCTAGCTAGTATGTAGACCTTATCAAACCGTATAAAGTGAGCCGCATCCGTACCGCAAACATGTTCAGCCACTGCTGATGCCTGGATATCCATCTTCATCGACCCAACCGTCAGGCCAAACAACAACAATTATTTAGTTCAGGAGTTTAGTTTACGATCCCCTTAAAAATCGTCTGGAAGGTGACAATGCCGCCAAACTCTTGTTTATCAAATAAACCTAATTTGCCTCTTCTTAATTTTGAACACTAGTCGATTAAATAAGTAATTAAAGCGTATTTTCAATGTACGTACCTATTTTATTGAAATACAGCCTTTTTATAAGGGAATTTTTTACTGCACCTCTATTTAGAAATTTATGCAAACCAAATTTCTCCACTAATAACCTACTTCACTAATAAAATTATGGGTTAGGTTAGGTTAGGTTAATACATATTTTGTTGCACTCGAAGAATTATTAGATTTACTCTTAGTTAAAAGATAGTAATTCAGTAAAACAGTTAAGCTTTAAAAATCTAACAGTATACCTCTAGTATAATTGATTTATTTGATGAGCTAGTGTGCGATTCAGTATTTTTGGTGATCATTTCGAATATTTTGATTGAAAAAAGGGAATTTACAGTTAAAGTATTAAATACCACCCTTTTTTATGTACTATAAATTATTATTTTTCTGAACCCACTTTCACCTCAGTCTCCGTACCTCCGCATCCGCGGTGGCAAAATTCATCGCCTCCCCTTCAACCTCCGTTACAACCTAATTTATATCTGGTTTTGGAAGGCAAACCTAATTTTGTATTCTTGTTGGTTTTCTTTCAAATTAATTGTTTCGGCAAGCTTGTTCTGGTGTTGTAATTTGATTTCGATGTTAGATACTAATAGGTGTAAAAGTTACATTGTAGTTGTTGTACCTACTTTGTAATTTAGGTACTCCTCTTTTAGAGTTTCTAAAATCCGATGTGGATTAAAACCAATGGGTTTCTAATATCAAAACAATCAAAACTAAGTGTGTCAATCTGATTCAATCTGTGTCTGTGAGGCAGAGCTGTGAGGTCCTTGTCTATGAGGGCTTTTAAAGTTTCTAACCGTCCTTGTTTCTAACACTAAAATGTCAATGTCAGAATCATAGCCAACGGAAAATGTAAAACTTACGTAATGGCATTATGGATACAATTTGGTATCAACTATAATCACATTGCTGTACTGTAAAATAAGTTTAAAACCATTCGTGAGTCGAAGTGAATATTACGCCCATTATTACGCGGTTATTTCAACCTAGGTTTTATCAAAGAGTTAAACAAGATGGTGGAAGCTGAAATCATCTCTGTATTATCTCATGCGTATTCAAGCAACGATCCTTCAGTATACGAATTAAGTGAACCAAGCACGCATACTAAGTCTGTGAAGCTCACTCCGGCTACTTTAGATAAGCGACTATTTTACAAAGTGAAAGTCAACGGAGTGAATGTGACTCCAGATAATATACTGGATCCCGGGTACGCAACGCTAGAGGACCTGACTACACATGCCGCGTTCGATCATAGGTCTCGATCTAGGTTTGATGCGGCTATTAAATATACCAGATCTAAGTCCAGGGCAGGTGTAGAAGCTATTACCGGTGCAAAAGTCTATGCTACTACCATCAATTTGGATGATATCGAAATTGATGTCTCAATCAACACTGAGGAAGGAGTAGAAATAGAGGACAAGCTAGTTTCTCCTGCTCCATCCGCATTTTACTTACCAAAATTGCCACCACTCACGACTTATCCACCAGAAATATTTATTACTCTCAAAGAAACTGAAACAGTTTTCTTAATTTCTTTGCCGTGTTTATCGTACGAAAAAGGATCACGAGAAGGAAATTTCATAGAAGAGGATAATGCTTTTTATGATTACATCACCCTAGGAAAAGGGAAAAATAGAAAAATAGTCAATGAAGAAACACAAACTCATATAAAAATGGTACAGACCAGACACACACTTGCGACGAGGCCCCAGAAAAAGAACGCGATATCATTTGCGTCAATGTGGGACATGCACGACACTTATGAACAAATCGAACAAACGGTAGCTGAAGAAGAAGATGATGAAATGGTAATGTATCAATCTGCAGCAGCCCATATGTTACGGAAGAAAAGAAAAAAGATCGATGCTCACAAGCGTGTTGGAAAAACATTTGAAGAGATAGCAGCTACACATCAATATTTAGATGCTGTACTTTTAATGGAACGAGTGCTCGCTTCATTGGTATTTGCTGCACAACAGAAGACGTTCCGAGGGGTCATCGATATCGATCCTTTATCATTGGATTTAATATACATATATACATTGGCTAAGTTGTGGACATATGGCTGTGAGGAGACTCTGAACAAACCAATCTCTAGCATATCTTTCAATCCAAAGTATCCAAACATATGTGCTATATCTCATGGCAAATTCGGTTACGCAGATGTCTGTCAAGGTATTGTTTGTATTTGGAGCACAAAAAATCCAAGAAAACCAGAGCGACTTTATCGTTTTAAAGCACCGGTTACTTGTGTCAGTTTCTCGAATAAAAATCCAAACTGGTTGGCGTGTGGTTTCTGTGATGGCGATGTAATAATATTAGATATTACTTCGTACTCTATCAAAATAAAAGCAAGAAGCAAACGTGATACTAACCCTTGCTTCGAGCCCATTTGGGTTATAAATTGGCGCTCTTTAGATAGAGAAAGCGAATTTGTGATGACAGCAAGTCAAGACGGAAGAATCCGTAGGTTTCAAAGTACAAAAACACATGAGTTCATCAGTACGCCCATGATGCGAGTATCTGCCGTCGAAGGCAAGCTGAAGGGACTAGAAACTACCAAACCATGTCCTAAACATGATGTGCCCATTACTAGATATCCCGCGGTGTTTTGTATGATATGGCACCCCACTATAGACCACTGCTACCTGGTGGGCACAGACGAGGGCTGCATACACAGATGTTCCACGCACTATCTCAACCAGCACATAGACGTGTACCGCGCTCACGCGGGCCCCGTCACGGACTTGTGTAACTCACCCTTTATGAGCTACTTGCTGGCTTCGTGTGGCGCTGACAATGCTATTCGGCTGTGGATAGAAGGCATGGATGATGTTATATTAACACTGACTTGCCAAAACGCTGTGAACGGTATAGCATTTTGTCCAATAAATGCTACTATTTTGATATCTGCAAGTGGGAACACATTATCAGTTTGGGATTTACGTCGAAAAACTCATATGCCATGTGCTGAACACAAATTTCCCCATGATGTAATGTTGACGTATATAAGATTTGCGCCCTGTGGACACAATGTTTTTGTCGGGGACACGACGGGGAGGCTGCATACTTTTCACTTGGAGGACACTCCTATACCACCGTTTAATCAACAAAAGCTATTGGATGATGTGATAAGAAAAGCTCTGTGCACCAGACCTCACATGTTGAAGCAACTCGATAAACTTATGAGATTCAAAAAGCGGAAAAGTTATTAACGTATCTTAACTGTCGTCATTTTGTGTCTAGTCACTGCTTACCTACATGTACAATATTTTAATTTTGAGAACTTTAAGCTCATTGCGATTTTACATAGATTCATTTTAATCATCCAATTTATCAAATGTTATTGAACGCTATTGTTATTGCTATGTAAATATATATTATACATTTATCAGCGTAAATGTAATGACCCGGGTAGGCACACAAAAACTGCAATCAGCAAACGAGGCCAGTAGATTACCAAAACATTCATGGACAACGTTCTAAAGTGTTGGTAAAATCATCAAGGGAGGTCTCGTCTTGACAGGAATTAAATTAAGGGTCAAAATCGTCTTAGTTATTATTATTATGCTTACGTTAAATATTTTAAGTTTCTTATGCCCGAATACTGAAACGTTACTCAATTTTAAGTCACGCTTAAGTATAGTTCTGTCACCACTAATTCTTTGTAAAATGACAGAGATGGCATGATATTTAAGCACGACTTAAAATTGAGTAACGTTTCAGTATTCCAGCATTAGTTATTAAATGTCATATTAGTAGCTAATATTTGTGCTTTATTTCATTAATGTTGTGATTCGCCGGAAGAGTCGACATGGATGAAGCTTGTAGTTCACGCAAACGTATCCTTACTAATATTATAAATCGGAAAGTGAGTTTCTTTGTTTGTATGTTTGTTCCGCTTTCACGCCGTAACTACTAAACCGATGGCTTTGAATTTTTGCAGACGTAAAGTTATAAGTCTGGATTAAATAATAAGGTACTCTTTATACCGGAAAAATCTGATATTCTAGAGGGAAAACGAAATTATTGGTATAGATGACGCTGTGTGTATTGGTATATGTCACATAGGCTACTTTTTATCCTTTTGTTACGCGTGCGAAGTCGCGGGTAAAAGCTAGTAGACCATAAATTATACTCCACATAATCAGAGGCACTATTTATGAAACGACGAAACCATTGTTAGTGATGATTTGTTGGAGTCCCTCAAAATCCCTACGTTTATATGGCGCATTCCAAAAGTATGTAGAGAACGGACTAGGTACATGTGCTTAATTATATTCTTACTTATGTATGACATGTAAGTAAGTACGTATGTGGGTTCCGCAGAGCATATCGCACGGCGCGCCGCTCACTCCACGTTGCGCTTCGCCAGGCAAGCGTGATTCCGCTTATGGGCCTCACCTTACCGCACTTGTCTGTGGTCTTAATCACCCGCCTTGGGTCAGATTTGTTATTATGTGCTATTACTTTAATTGCAATAACTGTTAACATAAGTGAGGAATAAAGGTTGCCATTAAACTTTAACTGGAATTCGTTTTAGATCTGAAAAAGTAACTAACATAAGTTTTAGCGTGATGGAACAATACCAGCAAACTGTCACAAAAATACCCAGCATAGACTTCCTTACTTTTGAAGAGGCTTGAAATATTTTTTTTGAGGCCAATCGATGTAGATACTTATTACTATGTAAACAATAACCGGCTAAGTATATTCAGATACTAAAGTGAGATAGCTTATCCTGCCTTACCATCGTACTTCCTAAAAACAAAGGACTTAAAATTCACACCAAAAACAACATTAGGACTGAATCATAAACAAAGATTAGTCATTTGCAAATTGAACGAGCACACCGTATCAGGAGTCCATGCATTCGGATGTAAAGTTTATCCACCCCGCGACGCTACCGACGCAGGCGCACCTGAGCGTGACGGTGGCCAGCTCGCTGCAGACAGCATTTGTGTCGCGGGCGCGTGCGCGGGAACACCTGGCGAGAACCCCAATAACTACAAACAGAAACACCTGTCAAATAGCCACAATAAGAGTGGTCTAAAAGCCACCAGCACCAGTCAACCATGAAGAGGATCTTCAACAAGTTCCGAGAGAGTAAGTGGCTGTCTTGCGTAATGCCAGTTATTTAACTACTTAAATGATATAATTGTTACATGTGATGTGAGCTAATTGATGTTGGTCAAGTCGGTGAGTGTTCTGTTCCGGTGTACTGATGTAAATCGCAATATTTTGATGCGGTCTCTTTGTTTTAAACTATTCGCGATTAATTATTCGTAACTTCATTTACTTATTCAGACATACTTACTTTAGATAACATTTTATTTTTCTCAAACATTCCACATGCACCAATGATTCTACCTACCTACTTAACAGAACACAAGCTTATTTTTATTTTTCAAAATACTGCGAATATGCGCATATTTCGTCTTGTTGCACATAAAACCAGTGCCCGTCATGTAGAGCGTAAATTAATCGTCTTCATGGCTAGTTCCCGTCGCTCTCATCATCGGAAACAAAAGCATAACAAAGCTAAAGAGCAACATGGTACGCTATCAGATACTAGAGTCGGGTTAATTTCTACCCGCGCGCCGCGCCGCCTACATTTCGTCGGCGGTCTGCGCCGATGAGAGCATGCGTGCGCGTGCGTCCATCGATACACGCCGTATCGGTAATTGCATCTCCTTTTAAGAATGTAATAATAAAACTGACCAGGATACCCGTACTATATGGGTATTTGGAGCATACAGCCTCAGCCTGTGCAGCGTGGGTACACTATGACTTGTGTATTTTATAATCATTTAAAACGAAGCAATTTTACTGTCGGTCCGATGATTTTGAAAGCGTGTAATGACTATACTTACCTAAAAGTTCAAACAATTACCTCTTCGGTTAAAACTGCACGAGTAATTTTAATGTCTTGCACACGAAAAATGCAAAAATGTTAAACATATTTCGCGAAAGTAGGTGAGATCGTGCTGCAGAGCGAGGAGCGCATGCAATTCTGAGATGTTTCGCTGGGCCATCACCGTGACAGGACGAGTGTCCACAGGCGGCGCGGCTGCGCGGGCGCAGGCCGAGGGTCGAGAGGTCGTGCGCGCAGACGCGCTCCGCCCCCCTAATTGCCGCGCCCCACGCAAATAAATAATTTTTATCCACTGCGTCGAGATCACGCTCCTTCTTGACCTTAAATTACTGTACGTAAAGCTCTTTTTTCTGAATTTTTAATCGGTTTCCCGAATGCCAGTGTAGCAGGAATTCCATGTGGGTGCCGAAAAGCAGCCGAGCGATGATCGCGGTTTTATGATACCATCGCTACATCGAATTGTTAATAATATGTTTTGAACTGACTATAGATGTAATAATTAAACGTTTTGCGTTGAAAGTATCGGCTAATCTGCGGTTATAGTCTTGCAGATATTGTTAAGTATGGCTTTTAGCAAGACTCGATTAAATGTAGGTAATTCTAAAGTTGAGACAAATCCGAGGCTATGTTTAGATGCTGTAAAACAAATGACATCATAAACGAATCATAGAGTGGTGTCGAGCTGCGTCGTCTACTTACAGTCCGTCTAACAAATTGCATTCTCTGTTAAGATAAATTATGCGAGATTCAGTAATCCGAGAAGAATAGGAATGTAGCCAGTGAGCTATGTAAAATGGAAGGGACATCCCTTCCTAGAGCACGTCGCCTCATTGCGGATACCTTAGACACGACATGTGACGGAACTAATGTAGGGGGTCAGTTTCCTAGTCCAATAAATGAAAAAACAATGCACTACACTGCAATTCACATGAGTTAGGTTTCACTTTGTTGACCGGATACAGATGTTTTTGGGATTATGTATTTAAAAAATGGTTTAAATGTACATTACATTTTGTTCCATTAAATTTTAATAGAAATAGATTGAAACATACAGGACATTTTTGATAGAATACAGAATATATAATAATTCTTTTCTAGAACCTGAGATCTGGGCATCTGAGTAACAGGATGTATTCGGCAAACATGATTGTGAGTGTCACGTCCTTGAGTCAGTCCACAACAAAATATTTAAAGAAATCTTAGCTCTTCTAGTCTCTCTTTGAATCTATGTTATTATTACAATGATAAACTTAGTTGCATAACAAAACTATAGATAGAGATTAAGCCTATTGTGGCGTACTTTTATTTATGAATACCATTGTTATTTTTCCTATCAAAACGTATTTTATCTAATAGTGTCGGTACACAATAGCTATTGTTAGTTCTTGATATTCGAGTGCATTTTGATTGATACTATGCTATGAAGGATTATGGGTCTACGTGAGGTGTGGCCTACTTTTAAGTTTAAAGAATCTTGGGATTGATATTTTTTTATTTTATATTACATCAGCTGAAGCTCGAGTCGATAGAGTCGAGTCGAGGAAGTAAAATTATGGTATACTTTTGGACCACTTATTTTATAAAGATTACTTCATTTAAAAAGAGAGCTAGACAGTTTGTAGTAAATGATTGTTACTGATGTAAATAGTCAAATCTGGCAAAGAAAGTAAAAGCGTTTTGCCAGATTTGAGTATCAAGATTGGGTCAGGTTGTCGGTAGTGACGGTGTTTGTACTTGAAACCACTTGACTAATGAGGTAGTTAACGATAGTGCTATATAGGAAATAACCAATGCTTAGCAGATCATTAGATACAGATCATCAGATAATCCTCATTTAGAATGTAAAGAGTTTGAGTATGCTTCGGCTGACATGTATAACGAAATCAATTCCTAACACACTTGTTACATTTTATCACCTTCGACGCCATTTCGTCACATCTTCAGGCAAGAATGTCACCGGTATTTTACCTAACACGCAAATCACCAATCGTTATGCACTTTGCAGCTTCGGAGATGGTAATGCACGTAATAAAGGATTCACAGATAATTGCGTGTCTGCATTGTAAAGATGTCAACACCATCGCACCGTCCGCGGTTGGAACCGGTGAGTGGAACGAATAACGCAGCCCATACTTACGATTACCTATTCGCTACAGTCATACTATGTTTTGCGACATTAGGAAAGCGTTCCACTAACCTCTACGGATTTCGCTTTCTATCATCCGTAAATTCACCATTATTTAAACTGCAAAATACTAATATTGGCAGACGAAAATCACCGCTTTCTTTACTAAAAACCTGTTTGGTCGCGACTAGACAAATACTTGAGTGATTAAGTTTGTCTACCGGATTATATTTGAGTTCAGGTACCCACTTAATGCTTTTATAATAAGTCTAAAGTTTGTTTAACGGGTAAAATAAAAGTCCTGTTCGGTTTAAAAGGCTTTTAAAGTGATTCGGTTTCTCTCGGCATTAGCATCCACATTTTTGCCTTTGTGAGGGAATATCTAGGAATAGATGCAGTCATTACGGGATGCACTATGATGCGCACAATGCATGAATCGTGCAGGTGTGCGTCGTATGCGCAGACTGCGAAGGACCACTACAAGTATGCTGCAGAAAATCCATTCCATACAAAATTATATGACTGGAAAGTGAAAGATTAATTAAGAGTAGTTAATTAATGTTAGTTGAGTTTATACAAGTCGTATTCAAGATTAACTTTTATTGAGGTGTTTCTCAGTGTTGTATAATTTGTTCATCGACCTTTTGTAAGTGCGTGTGGTTGGTATCAGAGCGCTCGGGACGCAGAATGCGCCGGGGCAGCAATTTTCCCTTTTCGCCGATTGTGGAGTGCAATGCGATGTAGGAGGTGTATAGAGGAAGTAGAGTTGGCAGAGACACTGCTCAAATAGTATTTAGTTAGCAATGTAGCATTTATTACTTAAAGATCGTCAAGTAAAGGTATTCTTTATTTGTGAAATGAAAAATGACTGCTAAAATCACGTTGGTGTGTTTGTAAATTTCAATTGTACGGTATCGTCGTATAATCTCTTTGACGTAGCTACCTCAAAATTAAAAATTAGCAATTGAATATGCACAATCGATTACTTACATAAATCGCAAATCACGCATCGATTAGTAAACGTATCGGTGTCAAGAAATTACGACACACCTCTCCTTCCGTTTAATTAAAAATACATAAATATGAAATGTATCTATTACATAACTATAAAAATTAAATTAAATAAATAAAGTTTAGATGTTGCATTTTACTTTCGATAACAGTTTAGGTCGACTGGTTTTGGCACTCAACAAGGCTTAGAATGGACAAAGCAATGAGGTTTTCGGGTAAGGCCTAGTGCACGAAGTGCGACGTATTGCATTAGATTACTCCTATTAAGATTGAAAATGTACAACCGATAAAAACTTATTTTACTTTCCCTCTTAAACAAAACTTCATACTGGCAACAACAACAACAATAATCAGGAATACTTTTGTGCTGTCGGCGCGGGCGCAGACAGTGGGGCTCGTTCCCACGCAATTATCGGTTGCCTACACTTACCCTTAATTCCCTCCTGCCCTCCTACCAGTTCCAATGATCCCTCAGACACTGCGTTCACGAATTTAAGTCACGGACGCCAATACGTGATGTGTGCGATTGTAAAGACGTTTAGATGAGCACCATTTACTTACGTAACTTTATTGAATGAGTGAGAGAAATGAAATAGAATATCAATAAGTAAGATTATTGTCGATGTGTTGAATATTTTTTGTACTTTTTTTTGCGGTCAATTATGTTTTTAACATCATGTTAGTTATCTTTTACAAGTTTGCTTAATTATTTGTTTTGGTTTTAATATCAAAACCTTAGTTATCTCATTCAAACTCCGTTTAACTACTAGATATCGTTTTAGTAGGTATAATATGACATAACATTCCCATCCCATTTTAATTAATTTAACAAATATCAACACGGCTTTATCATCCACACTCACAAAGATTAAGACGTCCAATCGTTGTCAGCAACAACAAAAAAAACTCAAGTCTTTCAACGAAAACTGAGAAAACAACCATTATACTCAAGTGTCACGCAGTTAGCAACATAAATGACCATACAGAACACCTTTATTACTACTTAACTGTCACAAACAAAAAAAAAGAAAATTAATTAGGTATAAAGATCAGAGAATTCCGCCAGCCTTAAGTTGTATCCTACCTAGAAATCTCCACATTAACATTAAAAATTAATGGTGTTTGTCTGTCCATCTGTCCTTTAGTCACGTTAAAAAAGATGGATTAACGTAATTTTTGTACGGAGATAGTAAGAGAGCTAAAGACAGGCTAATTATCTCTGCAGATAATTATCAAGTATCAGAGAAGGTTCTGTAAAACAATATACATACAGCAATAATGTGACTCTCCTCAAAAATTAAAAATGGCGCCACTGTAGTTTTAAAGTGCATTAATTTGCCACGGGTAAGTTGCTACGAGTTCCGTTTCATTTACTCTGCGAGTAAAGTCGGTGATACTAGCTAGTAAAACAATAAATTACCACAACTTGCCACCTTTAAACGTGAACTTTATGGTAGATTTTTGCGAGATAACGTTAATGTTATTAAGTTTAATATTATCTAAGAATGGAGGCGTTCCAAAAAATATTTCGTGGACGAACGTAATTACATATCGATAATGATCGAGTTAATAACAGGTTCAAACTAATGGCTAGTTCGCATTGTAGTTAAAACGTGAATTTCAAATGTTGTTATTGATCATCTATGTTTTCTTTTGGCATTAACTATGCTTAAGACAAGTTCTATAGGTACTTTAGAGATCTGCTATCACTGCTGGACTATAAGTCCTCCTACCCTCTATGCATCAGGGTTAGCCATAACCGCTATGGTTTATAGCTTTTGATCTTCAACCGCTTGAATGCCTGTATATGACACAGAATAGAATATACATTGTGTCTCCGGATCCACGTTTATATACACGACGGGTTAAGCATAGATTTAGTTGCTAATAATGGTACGCATTAAAGTTCCAGACTAATTAGAAAAACAAATATTTTCCCTAATTCTTGAAAAGGTATTATATTATAACCATGGTTATAACATAGACTATTTGCGCCATTTAGGAACACAATAAGGTAGATGAGATTGTAAGACATCGTTATTACCTAAATACCTATTGGCGTTAATCTAATTAATAGGTTCTGCTAGCTTTGAAATGTCACAGAAACATAAATAATATCGGATTTAAACAGCCCTGTTTAAAAGTAGTTTAATAGAAAAATGTCAATATTAACGAACTTATATTCAAATCCATCGTTTTCGATACACTTTTTAAGCAGGAAATCATAAAAATACTGGTTTTTTCGAGCAAAATAATAAAAAAAATAAGTTTTCGGATAAATAAAATTGCTTTAAGTAGTCGTGGCTACTGCGGATTATAAGACAATCAAAAAGATTTATTACTAATTGGTCATTTAATCCGCCAAACTAAAACGAACTAAAAAAAAGTGAATAAAGAAAACAATTACGTACTTGAGTTCTTTCCTTTTTTGGACTCTGTACTGAACATTGAAGGTGTTATTTTAAACTTCCATAACAGATGCATTATTATCAAAACATGAATGATTTGTTTTACGAGCTACGTCATTGTGTGGCTGCGCGGCGCGCGACGGGACTCCAGGCGGGATGCGTGTGCGCACGTTTTCGGCAGTTGTCGTGATCTGCGCAGCATTCCAGCTCATTGTGAGGACACATTCCCCACATAGCGATATGCTCGTGATTTGCCCTTAAACGCATTGTCTTCCGTTTTCACGCCTCTTAAGGTTCGAAAAAAATCGATGGAATATTTTCGAAATGGTTTTTATCGATCAATATGTTTGTTTACTATACGGTTAATATTTCCTTTTAAACATTGTCAATGGCTAATTTTTAGTTTTGTGTTTATCGTGGTTCAAAACGAATCATTCCTGAAATTCTGACTGTACTTACATATTGTTACTAAACTAGATTTTGGTTTCAATCATTTTTCGGTTTAAAGATGGTCAAAATAAAGAAAAGTTTTAAATACCGAATATGCATACAAATGAACATAATGCTAATTGCAATTAACCTTCGATCTCTCCCAGAAGATTTATCTCATACTTCGATTATAAAATCAATTTTCCAAATTGTTTAATTACTATAAAAGCCAAAATCTCGGAAACCATCATGTTTAACACCCATAACTTATAATAAAAGTCCCAATACGATGTGGGTGGCCGAACGAAGGCGTCTAATGAAAGTAATTAATTTTGTCATAATAACAGCAGACATAAATATGTTTGTTGTGGCCTGGCCGCGGTGTGTGACCACTGCGGCTATATTTTGTAACGAAATTGTATAATTACGTGCGTATTTCAAGTATGTAATAACAATTATTATGTGAGAGCCGTAAGGTAATATTGGCTATAAAACCGTGAAATTGGCGTCCGAGTAATATACGCGACACAGCATCAACAAACTGTCTCACTTTCCAATTTCGTGGAATGTAAAAAGCGTAATGTTATAGCTGTCGCATTTATTTTATGGTGTTCGTAAATAAAGAAAGTAATAAAATTGTCACCATTGGGCATAAACAAAAATCGCCAACGAAGTAGCGTAGGCTGAAAGTTCATTCTGAGGGTCCATGACCTGCAACTTTTAAACGGAAATCTCAAAAAAATTGAATTGGAAAAATTGTACAAAAGTGTGTGGTTTTGAGTTTCCAGGTTCTGATGACGCTACTACACCTATTTTATCTAAGTAGCCGTTCTAAATCACACAGACTAGTATGTTATTTAAAAAAATAGTTTCTTGAGTCTAATAGTCTAAGAGTAAGAATAGTCGGACAAATATGTATTGAAGTTATTGTTGGATTTTAACGACCATCTTGTCACTTTCGTCTTAAATTAATGAAACGTTCTTTTATACGTTTTTGTGCAATTAGGACGCGCGAACGTTTTCTAACGGAGGTAAAAGCAAAGATATGAAATGTATTGTCACTTGATATTTATTGGAAACGTTCGTGTTATACGATAATGACAGTTGTCCACTAAAGAGCCAGTAGAGACCACAAAGCAAAAAATAAAGAGAAAATAAATCGCGAGCTATCTCCGGCGTCTAACGTAGAAAGAGTGGCCATCGCATTCAACGCGGATTTGCACTTGCAAATATGCATTGCGTGCATAGTTTATCTCAGAGATCCGAGATGATATATAACTTTTGCACGCAGAGATGAACGGTTTAAATCCAAGTATTCATCAACCAAGTTATCATTATAACAACAATTTATCTAAACATAGCGTGCTTTTTAATTTCTTGTAGTTTTTATGTCCGTCACGGTTCCTTAGACAACACTCGATTGTAAAGGAATCTCCGGCCATTAAGGAAAAAAACACAAATGTAGCACGAGACAAGATAACGAAACACAAACACAGATGTTTACTCTTTACGCCTCAAAAAGCGTGAGAAGTGTTAAAACGCTCGCCTTTAGAGCTTATTGTTTGACTCTTAGCACCTGACTATTAGTGGCTCGTGACTGCCGCATTTCTACTATAGCACTCGTGTACATGTGCATAGTTGTTTACGCATAAATAGTGTATCAACTTATGCAAATAAATTAATGTGTGATGTGATGGATGACCGCACCTCTGACCGAATGTTTGCGACGGCTGCAATTCGTGTCCCGAGGCAAGTCGACGTCTTCCACTGAACTCGCATGAGTGCGCCCACTTTGAACTGTGAGAATGTGCCGAGATTTTTTTAAGAGGAGGGCGATGTCGATAGTGTATCAGTTGGAGGAACCAGTGCTGGGCGCGAGGCCGCCGACGGTGGGCGGCGCGCGCAACGGGGATTTATGCGGAGAGACGTGCGCGAGAGTCGGTGGTGCGCAGTGCGCGGGAGCCGCCGGGTAGTCCGGGAGCGCGCATCCCCCCGGCAGGGCATTGTTTCGCGCACTCGCCCACTTTCATTGTTATGACTGCGACTTGATTATTTATGCCCAATAATCCGCTCAGCTGACTATGGTATAAATCTCGTTATTAATAGTATCCGGTGAGGCATTACGTGCGCCTGATTGTGATTTTTAATCGTTTATTATTTAACTTCCAGAAATAACGTTTAAAGAGTTACCGCCGCCGTACAGTGAACGAGTGCTCGCTTTTGACGTTAATGAGAATCAAGGATTGAACAATACGGTATGTTTCATAGAAACGGAAAAAACATGATTCATTTAATAGCCGTGAATTTTGTGTAACTGTTAAAGTGACTTGTAAATTCCAGAGTAACGCACCTCCAGCATGCGAAGTCTTAGACTTGCTAGCGAACTGCAAAATATCGCCGCCAGTAGATGACGATCAAGATACCAGTGTTGAGTACGCCGAAATTAAAGACATGGGTCTTTGGCACTCCACACCATTAGCACATCGCCACAAATCCAAGATATCGCTTACTTGGGTGCTGAAAGAAAATTTGGAGAATGCGAAACTGACTGGTGAGAAGTTCCAGAGTGAAGATAGAGTAAAAAACACAATCATAAAAAGTGAAATAGATAAGAATCACAATCAGAAGCCAAATGAAATCGAACGTTACAGAAAGTGCAAGCCTAGAGATGTGAAAGATAGGGTCGTGGGACGTAATGAGTATTACCATAATCTTAGATTTAGAAATGCGTGTGAAGAGTTTGCTAACGTGCAGGACACGTACTCGGACACTAGTGTGGGCACAGAGGAGTATGTCAGGAAAAAGCACCGCCATCGGCACAGGAGGAAGAAGAAAGCCCCAAATGGAAAATTTGGCTACGACATACGAGATTTGGACAGCTTCCTTAGTGAGGTAAGACTATTTATTATTGCTTTATCATTGGTCCTTACTTGCATAACAACAGACCAAAATAATAAACCACTCATCACACATAACCCAATTTTATTTTTAAAAGTCATTCATCATTTCCTGGCATTCTCATTGCGATATTAACGGATCTTTTTTACAAAAGAATTTAAATGCACCTGTAAATCTCGATCATTATTCATTTCTTCGATATTATTATGACGTTACGATGTACATACGCTTTTTGTGCGTTACCTCGACGCATAAACCCGATTGCACTACGTAAGCCGCGAAATTGGCGCAAAATTGGACAACACATAAATTGCAAGTCATTTAAAAATTTCGATATCCTTTTTGAAGTTTTTAATATAGGTACAAGTAAATTCGGGCGAGTATCGGTCTGGAAGATTATTCAAGCAATTTTGTTGCTGCGGTATGTATTCAGGATAATGATCCTTAAGTGAATGTTTCTTAGGGTTGTTGTAATGTGGGGTTACAAGATAATCTCGAGAGGCCATTCATCAATGCGGTTTATTTAAAACAACAATATATCTTTGTGGGGTTAAACGCTACGGTGTTAATTGCGCCATTTCGACGGGCACGCCAATACCATATATCACGGGAGACTTTTAAAAATCGACGTAAGAGGTCACTATAATTTGTAATTGACCTTTGTGGAACATAAGATTTAAAGCGCTTTGGAAAATTATTACTTGTTGCGTGTGCGGCCGAAATCATGTCTATTAAATTGTTAGTGGGACGCGGTTATAATTTTGTGGACGTTAAATGAATAGGTTTGCATAACAGCTTTTGTTTTTTGCGATAATTCAAGTTTAAGTTGATTAAAAATAATTTTTGCTGATATTTTTAGCATATATACATAATGTTGCATGTAAATAACACACAAGACATTAAATAAATAAAATATGGAGTAGTTCTTTCTTTTAGACAGAAGACATACTACGAAATTAATTCCGTACATGCGTGTACGCCGATAGTTATGTATAACAAATATGCGTATGTAAATGATTATATAGTCATGCAAGTTGTACAAATTATACAAAGAAAACGCAAATTAATCTTACATAGTTACAAAATTAGAGATAGTAAATTACGACTTATTACTTTTTTACTTTCATGTTTATGTTTGATACTGGCACATATGGACGGATAAAATAACAGGACATTCTTTACTTTCTTTCATATATCATTACAAACTTCAGGCAGCTCTAGCCAAATGCCATTTAGCGCTTGTCTACTGTAGAAAACTAAATTATATGGAATTGACGTAAATTTTGAGAATTGTCTGTGTCATCCATACATTTTGATTTCTACTCTCTCTGTAGACAAGCGCTAAAGTGGCGTTTGGTTAAAGACACAGTTTACCTTTTTTTGCTAATCATACACGTATAAGCATGACACTATTTTTATGCAACGATTTTCAGGGTTTTTGGCAAATAACTTACAGTATAACTAACGTGACCATTTATTTTTTGACTCAAAACCGGATTTTCATTTATTTAGATTCAGTTAGACATCTAGCTAGATCCTTTATAGAACCTGTAAACAAAACTTTGTGCCCACAACAAAACGATTACTAAAAATGTTAGTATTTTAAGTTATTTAGACTGTACCTACTTTGTCAAAAATTAGCGTGTTATGTATGACGCTGTATCACTCTCGCACACCACTCGAGCCCTCCGAACGGTCGTCGTATAGGTTTGACTATTTAAATCGCGTGGTTTCCGAGAACGGGAAAATTTTGCGTTGAGGAGTCCATTTCGGGGCAACTTAATTATAAAAAAGGACGTTCAAAACGGGACGTCTGGTCATGTTAAGTATAACTTTAAAAGCAAGTTGTACCTTGGCTAAAACTAACTTGTGATTACCTATATTTTGTGGGCTATATTAAATTTGCTACAGCTGTTTTGGAGATCATAGGAACACCCATGTTTAATACGATTTATGCAGTGGCGTAACTATACTGTCTGCTTTGCCTATTAAAACCGAGAAGTTCAGGACAGGAGCCCCTTTCGGCTGGGGGCTTACCACCCTGTAGTTACGCGACTGCATTTATGTACCTAATAGATTGTAGTGACAAGCATAACTAAATAAGTACATTCCTGTTTCAAATTACTTCTTAATACTTTATACATTAAACTTCATGAATTGATTTATAGCATTTTTATCAGACATTTAAATATGATTGAAATTTAATATATAATAAATCCGAATACTTAATTGATTAGTTCTTTATGCTCAGACTAATTTTATAAATGGGAAAGCGTTAGTTTGTCTTCCTTTCATGTTGCATTTTTATGGTATGATTATTGTGTTGAGAGTGTTATGAATAAAATCCACTCCACTTTAAAGCCTTTGAAGATCTTTACATTCAAGATATCAATCTATCTAAAATAGTACTCTAATAAGTACAAATTTTTCCAGGCTACTATAGACCGTCCAGGCAACATTCCAGTCGTGATAGCATACCCTAGCACCCTGTATCAGACGCAGAAGGATGTCCAGCAAGAACTGTCGCTACCGCTGGGCACAGTCGTCAACGCGGTGTTCAAGAACGAGCAGTGGCTGTATGCGCAGACGCCGCATGGTGACGAGGGTTATGTGCTGTATAGCGCCTGTTTACCGCTGGGAATACTGCCTAACAGGTACATTGTTGAATTTTCTACTTCTTTCACTCCACTTTTACAGTTGACCATGCACAAAACCCCCGTCAAGTACAGGAGGCTCTTAGTCCAGCAGTGCATTGTCAATGGCTATTGATGATAATGACAATAGTTCAGATGTCTATTTTTCTCTGTAGGATAAGCTTATAAATACTTATTTATAGGTACTGCGATTTCTAACTCTAACGGACTCCCATTTAAACTTTAGATAGGTACTTTTTGTACAAGCTACGGAGTACCTATAACTATTTTATTAAAATGTTTTGTTTCAAAACTATCTCCATAATTTTCTAGAACATCACCACAAAAGAAGACGCCATGTTGGGAAAGCAGTACCGACATCTACCCGCGACCTTGTGGAAACCTCACAGACAACGAGAAGGAACAACTGCGCGGGCGCACGCGATCCGAGTGTCGCTACCCATCCAAAACTACACGACGAAAATCCAAGAACTCGTGCGCAGAAAAAGACTTTGATTCGTTGTATTTAAAGACCAAATCCGTTTGTTCTAATATTGATAAGATACATGAGAAGGAGAATAGGGATTTTAGACAAGTGAAGAGACAGACTTTATTAGTAGTGAATAGTGATTACGTGGGGAGTGTGTTGAACAAAACTTTGACAGTGCAGAAGGGGGATGTAGTGGTCCTTGTGCAAGGTGGAGGGGTTGAGACTGACGTAGACGCTGAGTGGTTCTACGTCAAGAAGAAAGATGGTAGCCAAGGGTTCATTCCCGCTGCAGTTGCCGGTCATGGCTATATTTAGCGTTCAAGAAGGAAACCCCTAGTTCCTAATTCATGACAATTACAAATAAACAAAGAAATAGCATTTCTTATGTTGAGGAATAGAGTTCAAATTGCATTTGAAGCTATCTGTAGAAAGTGTTACACAACTCAAAGGATTTTCTGTGTTGAGCTTAATATATACAGAAATTAAATAATTAAAAGTCTTAGATATAAGTGTGTGTGTGTTGTAAATAATAAAATTTTGTTAATGTCATTCATTTATTGATTGTCTTAGCTTGTAAATTTTACTTATTTGTCAAGAAATATTCCCTAAATAGCTTACCTATCGAAAATGTAGGACTTGATCTCTATAGTTGAAGGTGGTGCACAGGTCTATTTCTGGGCTGGAGCCAGCAATGGCCAAGACCTTGGGATTTGTTCTTAGGACTGCAGAGTAAACTGTGGTGGCTGATACTGGTAGTTCCACCTTGATTTCTCCAGAGTAACTGAGTTGGTAGAAGTGCTTGGCTGCTCCGCCTGCGAAGACACAGTCATCGTGGAAGAAGGACACATGGATGCCATGGTCAGGAATGTCGAAGACTGTGACTGCATCCAAAGACCGCAGGTGCCAGAGAGCTAGGCGAGGACCACCACCGCAGACCTAGAAATTAAGATAAAAAATTTACAAAGTGGGAAACTACTGATACATTAATTTTAGTATTCCTTTAGTGTCTTCAAAGCTTAGTATTTAAAAAGAACTAGGCTTATTAAAAACAAAGCTGGATTTCTATTGCAAAGCATACTACAACCTGTGGTGATAATAAGAGTTATACTTACAATCCAGTCTTCTCCAAGGGCTACAGATCCCATCCACTTGCCAATATCAGGCCGGGCGACTTTACTGTTAGTGTGGGGCTCCAGTTTGTTGTGACTGGAGCTGGTACGAGTGTCCCAGAGCATTACACACCCATCCTCACTAGCTGTGATTAATTGTTGGTGCCTGTAAAGATAATATTTAAAGAATAAGAGCCTTTGTTGCACATGCAATGATAATTGATATAGATATTGTGGCTAGATTGAATAACTTAGGCCAAGCCGTAGAAAAATATTACTGCTAAATTACTCACTTTCCATCAATAGCATGAATGAAGTTATTATGTCCCGTGAATGTGGACACTAGTCTGCCATCTTCCAAATGGAAAACATAGACATTGTTATCCCCACAACCAGCATACAACTTCGACTCATCTTCAGATAACCACAGACTATTCACATCAGTCTGTTCCATAGACGAACGAGAAGGTATCCGTATCACCCATGAAGGCTTACTCAGCTTTGAACTCACTGCACTCTTCCAATCCCAGCCTGATATTTCATTAACTGTACCAACTATTAAAAACTTTTCTGTACTCGCTAGACTGCATATTTGGTGCCCAGATTCAAGAGTGTGAATGTGTTTCGGCTTGTTATAATCAGATGTGAGAAGTTCGACGACAGGATTGAGGATTCGATCCAGGCTGAAAATATTGGTGAGATAAAAATAAGTAACGGGAGCAATAATAATACCATTAAATGAAAACTAAGGTTATTGAATTAATTCTAATCAAACTTACTCATACACGGCCAACTGACTGTAAATATTGCCGGCGATCAAATACTTCCCGCAAGGTGACAGTGTTTGGGATAACACTGTGTTATAAAGGATTTTATCAAGCATGATTCCAATTTGTGGTTATTATAGTGTAATTATAACACAGATAGGTGTCTTTATTTCAGTTATTTTTCGAGATTTATTGAGGAGTTTGAGGGGACTCGTCTTTATAGGTTTATAAACAAAACATAACCTGAAACCTCGACGTTATATGTCAAATGTAAATGACAGTGGCAGTCGAAACAAATGACATTATTGTAAAAAAAAAAGCATCGCTATTCTTTATGGTGAAAAAATTTTCAATAATTATAAATATTACCAAATATTACTAAATTATTAATTGATAAAACTTCAAGAGGTATACGTTAAATGTAATTAAAATGTTTCAATTTATTGAACATCTAAAATCCTAATTTGACGAGCAAACCATGATAGAAAAAAATATAAATTAGTCTATTAAGTTTTTCTCAAAATGGCAACTCTGTAAGAAAGTCATCCACAAAAAAAATCAGAACCAGCTAAGATGGACGTGTGTCTTACGAATAAAAATTGAATTAAACGGGGTTCTGGTAAATGGTGAGATATCTGTGTTGATACATATTGATTTAAATAACTGATCAAGTGCTTCTACATTATTGTACCAAGTTAATTTTTTCAACGACGCCAACTTTGTGATTGTCAAGTTAGCCATGCCCCTCACTCAGCATGCCATAAATTGATTTATGATTTTTAGGTAAATAAACCGGCAAAATGTATAATGGTATTGGTTTGACGACGCCACGAGGCTCTGGTACTAACGGATATGTGCAAAGAAACTGGGCGGGAGTGCGGAAAACCAAAGATTCAGTGAATTATCGCACTGAGGAAGAAATAGCCAAGTTGGATTCTGCGTCAAACAAACAGCCGAACCGGGAGATTCTTGATCATGAGAGGAAAAGGAAGATTGAGGTGAAATGTGCAGAACTCGAAGATAGTTTGGAGGAACAGGGGTGAGTAGATGAAGTTATAAACCTTGTTTTCAATGACTTATATTCCGTGACGTAATAGTTAGTATGTTTTGAAGTAATCTACAAAGTTTTATTGTTCAGTTTTATTTTGTGGTATTTTATTGGCGAGCAATCGTTTTTCATGCACTTTTTAAAGCCCACATCATTCTAAGCCAAGTTATTGGCTTGTTTTCTTAACAATCTACACAACTAGTGTTCAATTATTATTGTTCTGGTTTTAATCAATTTCTTATTATTCCATCATTTGTGATTATAACTGTATACAATACAATAATGAAGCTTGTTGCGGCTAAAAAGGTTCTCAAAATGAAGATTGCTAGGAAAAGGTAATTAGAAAAACATTTAACTAATTGTTGACGATAAAATTAATCATTGCACTAACTTTAGTTAGAGGTTAGTTTTAATTAATAGTACTATTATTAAATTTTCTGCCACTAACAATATTAGGTATTTTTCTTTTAAAATGTTGATATAATCTTGTTTTCTAGTGAAGGGTTATTTATTAAATTTCTATCTGATACAAAAGTTACATTAGGACTAAATCTGTTTTTTGAACTAAACTTCATAACTGGTACAAAATATATGAACAATTATTTATATTTATTTACATATAATTTAATACCATATTTTTTTATGGAACATAATTTATGGATCAGTTTTTCACTTATTTTACAATTTAAGTAATAAACCTAATAATTTGTTTTTAATGTATGCCGCAATGATAAAATACTAGTTTGTCACATGGTACTAATTATACAAGTATTTTTTGTGGTTTTATCAGTTGAATTCATTAGTGCCAGTATTATTTTTCATACAATTCTTATTTACTGCAGAATGTAAAATAAATACAAATCAGTAAAATGGGTCAACAGTTCGCAAACTGTTGACCCATTTTACTGATTTATTTAAACATACATGCTATGCTACATTTAGCACAGTTTTGTACTGTCATCTAACTCGCAATCGCATACAAACTGCATTGAAGAATATTTTGAAGTTTCTAATGAAACTTAGTTGCATACATTTTCTTTTCCAAATGTTAGTTTCCCATATTAGCGGTCACCAAGCGAGCACCACTGACCGCTCTCCACTAACTACATTATAGACCTTATTTCTGATCTTTAGAGACTACTTTTGTATGAACAAATTTAGGGGATGATATTTCAGATATTTCAACAGGTTAAGATTGCAAGTATAATGCAGTTTAGAAGTATTACTTTGATTCAAAACCTTTTGTTTGACAGCTGCATTCACTCAACAAATGAAATCAGTGTGTGATATTTATTTATTTAAGGGACAAAAACAGTTACATATTAAGATTTTACATAAAAAGTCTTACCTTAAGCAACAGCTACAATAAATACGTAACCCACACCATTGCCCACAATTTGGTATAAAGTATAACGGCAATAATGACCGTGTTACGGTAGTGTTATCGTAATTTAATTAAATTAAAATTTACCAAATATAAATATAATGAATACATAAAAAGATACAACAAAAAACCATTGTGCATTGTACTTATGATTTAGAAAAAAGAATAACTAATGAATAACCAACCATTACTGTAGCAACCCAGCAGTCAGAAGTTCCAAGGCCTGCTTGCTAAATCTATGTTTTGAAAGAGAAAACATGTAACAAAACCATGAAATGCAAGTTGTATGTTTCCACTAAGCGACGAAGAGGCGCGCGCGCCCCGGCATTAGTCCTGCACTTGTTAGTGTGGAACAAACGCGGAACCCGCACCCCTCTCTGTATTACCGTCCTAGGAATTACGTAAAACAGTTGACCGGTCAAGTCCATGCAGTCAAATCTATTATTACACAAGCCATGAAGCATCATAACAGTCAAAAGCAAACATCTAGACTCTAAACTTAGCATATTATAACGTGTAAGCTCAGACGGAAGTTTTGAATGATAACATTTGAAATTTACAGATCGCAGGAACTTTTTCTGTACCATTTCCAATCTAGAACTGTACTTATAGTAGAATGGATTCCAAATTACAATAGCGTACTCAAGCTGTGACCGTATCAGGGTTTTGTGTAACTGCAAAAATGTAGAGGGGCGCACAAAGTCACTGGCCGATCGCAATACGAAACCAAACATCTTAAAGGCCTTACTGATTATATTATCAACGTGAAGGTCGAAATGCAGACAAGAATCCAAAGTTACACCTAAGTCACGAACATTAATAACAATATTTTTCAGAATTGTTTATTACCTCATTGACTTTGGAAATTATTTCCAAAGCTTGTATGGATAATACAATATTATAAAATACCACTAAATAATTATGTTTACCTTAGCAACATCACTCTCACATTGAGATAACTCGATCAGTTTCAAGCTACGCTGGGAATCCATAGTCATATTCGACTTGAAAGTAGTCAACTTACTTGGTCGAAGAGTTGCGTGAGTAAACACGTAAAACACATTACAATTAAGAAGATGTAATGTTTGTTTGAACAGACTAATCAATTTACTTTCGAAGTATTCCATCTTCGCTAATTTATAATTATAAAAATAACCACAAGAATGTCTGACGAAAGAAAGCTTAGCACTACATTGGTCTGTTACGTTTTCAAACAAATAAACTTAATGTATGGACTGACCGTGAAACTCACGGGATCTGGTATAAAATGCGTAATCGAGTACTACGCATTACTTATTTAATTTATGTAATCAAAACACAGGAAAACTGATAACCAATGCTGTATTTCTAAATTCACCGCTGTTCGTTCTGGGTTCTTATTAACCATATGTTAATTCAAACCGTTTTCAAATAGACGATCATGAAATTATCTATTATAAATTGGGGACATGTTGTATGCAGCTTATGTCAAATTTTTATCTTCTGTAACTAATCCACTATTAGATTGGTCATCGAGAATGGTCGTAAATTAAAATTGGCGGAAAAATATCCATTAAAATTGTTGTAGTTTGACCCCTTGCTGTGTTGGAGAAATAATTGATATTGAAAATTTTGTTCAAAACTTTAGTAATAATAATTACCGTAACTATCACGTAACATAAACAACCGATCTCTTATTTTGTTATACATGATTAACTTATTTATTCATTTAGAAAAGAAAATGTCGACTGCAGAAATCTTCGAAGTAGTCTATTGGGTCTGTCATCGTAAACTTAATTGAATGATAGCCGTTGCGCTGGAGTTGAATAATTGAATACAGATGAATAAGACCATGCTTATTCAACTGTATTAAATTTATTACAGGACGAAAAGGGGTTTACTCCAATTTATTACTGGACAAAATGGGTTTACCCTGTTTTTTGGGATTTCCTTTACTTGCTTTATCATGTTAATGATTAATTTATACGTAATCCTTGACCTTCTTTGAACCTTTGTGCCTTTTGCCGCAAGAATCGTTAGAATTTAAATTGACGACAATTGAGTACCTCTATCTTTGCACGGGTCAAACCTCTTTTATTTAAGACTTGTGGTAAATAGGGTTTCAAAAGCTAAATGAAACTCCTATATGGTATATAGGAGCTATATAGTATATAGCTTTCTCATTCATGTAGAAACCCACCAAAAGTGACAGGTCGTGTATTTGATTTTTTTTTTTTAAGAATTGCATAGTTACAAATTATGATTTTATTAGTGTTCTTACCATAATATGACCAAGAAAAATAAGA